ACTATTATAAGCATCTGTATGCCCTTCAGATTTATTCATCAGTAAACAGCTTAACATTTTGTATTATTTGTTTTCTATCTTTCTTTTCTCACATCCTCCTTCTCACTCCATATACTTTGAAACTTCTTTTTGTTGAATCATTTAAGGTTTGTTTTAGACTCATCACCCTTATATTTTAGTATCTATCCTAAAAACAAGGGCATTCTCCTTCATAATGTTAAATGCCTTCTTACACTCTAGCAGTTTGACACTAATAAAATAAAATGATATACCATATTTTCAGATCATAAGACACACCTAGGTTTTAGAGGAGGAAAATAGGGAAAAAAAATTTTGAAGCAAAAAATGTAAAATATTTAATAACACAAATAACATAATATTTCACCAATGCATATGTAAACAGAACTCAACAGCAGCATTAACAACCATTATTCCTCCCAAATTTGGGGGGTGGGGGTGTGTCTTCTAGTCTGAAAAATACGGTAATCCATAATCTAAATTTTCCCATCTGTTAAAGGACCAGATAGTAAAATTTTAGGCTTTGGGGATCAGCTGCACTTTGCAAATACTTCACTCTCAATTGTAGCTCAAAAGCAGCCATAAGTAGTATGTAAACAAATGAGTGTGGCTGTATTCCAATAAACTTTATAGAAATAGGCAAGCCATAGGTTGTAGATTCCTGATGTAGAATAGGGTTTTTTGTTTTGTTTTTAATGAAATTGTTTAATGGCTGTTTGAAAAATCAGGCCAGTTTTTTTTGGCAGAATGTCCCTCAGCCTAGATTTTTAAAAATGTTCACTTGATTTTTTTTTTTTAAGATTACAAATGCCCTGTAACCTTAAAAGTTGTTTTTGTTACAGAAATGAAGAGATGATTTCTTTTTTCTTTTATTATTCCTAACTTTTTAAAAATTTTTATTTTAATTATTATTCAAGTACAATTTTCTCTTTTACTCCCATCCGGCCCACCCACCCAGCCCTCCCCACCTCCCTGATTTCTTGAAAAAGATTCTGGTTAAAAATAAAATCTTACCCTCCTAGCCTCCCTAACAGTGTATGTGTACAAATACTGCCTAGAAATTGGATGACAAAATTAAACTTGTAGATCACTAATTCCTTGGTATTTTCTTCCAGACATCAGGACTTTTACCTATATGCTTTTTCATATAAATGTTTTTATTTTTTAAAGATTTTATTTATTTCTTTTTAGAGGGGGGAAGGGTTAGGGTTAGAAAGAGAGAGAAGAGAAACATCAATGTGTGGTTGCCTCTCAAGTGGCCCCCACTGGGGACCTGGCCCTCAACCCAGGCTGTGTCCTGACTGGGAATCGAACCTGAGGCCCCTTGGTTCACAGCCCATGCTCAGTCCACTGAGATATGCTAGCCAGGCCTCATATAAATGTTTTTATATTCACAGAAGTGAATAAAGAATTCAAGAGGACTTGAATAACAAAAGATAGTGAAAATAGACATAGACTTGAGTGTTGATATTTTACCCAAATATCCGTAACATAAAACCTATAGCTGTCTTATTTTATACTTAAGACTTAAAATAAAATGAATAAATATTTGCCACAGGTAAGCTTACTATAACTATTCTTGCATCCTTGTAAGAGTGTACACATTTAAAAAACTGTTTCATTTTCTTACTTAGTTCTATGAGCATCAAAAGTGAAAGTAGCATGTTACACTGAAATTAAAGAGTTTTGGGATTTTTAGTGTTGGGGTTTCTTAAAATTTTCTGTACAAACGTGTGGATGATTGGATGCTATCCTGCCAAATTTTATTGGTTTTGAGTAAGACAAAATTTTTTTCCATGTTGTGTGGTTATCACAATTTAATTCTGGTTTAATCGTTTATGTCCTATGAAACAGGTCTATTTTCTTTTCCACATAGCTGAATGTTAAGTAAAGATTGAAATAATTTTCTCTTGGAGGTTTTCATTTCTTAGCTAAATATTCTCAGAGTCTTTAACCATTCCTCACATCACATCTCCCCAGTATATGGTTGCTCTTATCTTGGAAGGTTTCTTAATCTGTAACTTGGTTTTCTGTAAAATAAGGGTAATGGTGTTTAGCTTATAAATTTGTGAGAATTAAGTTACTACACTTAAAATACAATAATGTCTGGAATGTAGGGTGTGACAAAAGTAGGTTTACACTTACACTAGGGTGTGAATAGGTGAAACAGTTTGTTCTTGTATTATGATTTATAATTGTATTATTTTCCATGCAACCATAAACTTGCTTTTTGTCCCACCCTGTATAGGACACATTTAGGAAATGTGTTAATAGTATTGATTTTTCATATTACATAGCTTCTCATCTGTCTTATCTGTTCATGAACCTGTTTATCTTAAAGCAGAGGTAAATACAGTACAGGAGTGATCTTATCAGCCCAGGAGTATAGTGGTCATGTCCTCCATTAATATGGACTGATGTTGGAGATTTCTTTTTATTTCATTGAGGAGAATTTCAAATTAACAAAAAGTGGATACACTAGTATGATAGATTCTGCATGTCCACCCTCCAGGTAGAACAACATGGCCGATCCTGTCTGGTTTACTCCCATCTAATTCCTTTTATACCCCTATTATACCTAACCTCTGTGCCTGTGTTAACTATGAAAGTTTTTAAAATAGTATCTTCTCTTTAATAAATAATTATTGAATTAATGAAAAAATGAATCTGCTCTTAATCAGTGAGTGGATCAGCTTCCAGTAGTTTGCTTAGGAGGAAAGTACGTGAATGGGAGGGGTTGAAAATAGATATGTGTTTATCATACTGTTTATTTACATGTCGCCCAAGTTTTTAATGATTTCCTTCCATTTCTGTATAGGGATGTGTGTGTTGATCTTACTGGTGAAGTCTCTGAAACCTCTAGGAAATAATTCAAAGTAGCTGGGCCAAAAGACTTAAATTCACTGTTTTATTAGTCTTTTCACTTATTTTGGACTTGAAGACCTTTACCAATGTTTATCTTAGGCCTTTCAATCTGTTAATCATTTTATTTTGATTAATTAAAGAGAAGGAAAATAGGGATTGAAAAGTTGTATTTTCTTTGTCATCTCTGTTGGAATTTTTAAAGTCAGAATTTTGTGGAATAATTCACATACAGTAAAAATTGTTAAAATTTATTGGCTTCAGGTAAAGGCCAAGATTTCTTGCTAGTTTCAATAGCTGACTGTAGCACTTTTTTCAAGCCTCTGCTTGTTTCTTCCACAACTCTATTTTTACTCCTCACTGATGGTTACTGTGCTGTCAGCAGTTGCTGAAATTTAAGACATTCACAATCATTTTATATTGATTATAAAGAAGTGTGCAACTCTTAATTAAAAACAGGAATCAGTCACATTGGAGAGATGCTCTGACAAGTCTCTGGTTATTCAACTAGCAGGGTAGGAGTTCTCGGGGTGAAATATATAGCGAGGTTAGGTTCTAGGATTCAGTTCACTGTCATCACCCTAAGATTGAGCCTGGGGAGCCTGCTTGGTAAAAACAGCCAGCAGAGGCAGGAATTGTACACTCCATGCACCTTAAAGCAAACAGAAGCTTAGTGAATGCAAGTTTGGACTTAACCTCTGTGGCTTACCTAGGAGTGACTTTACAGCCTTGCTTTCCAGCTCAGTTCTAACTTTTCGTGAAGTATCTCTACCTTGAGAGGAGTCTCGCCCTTCACTGCTGGCAGTTTTTATTCTTAATACTAAACATTTCGCCAAGGATTAGTTAACAGGAGACTTGAGAACAAGAATAAAACATTGGGCAGGGAGCTGAGAAAGCATTCTGATGTCACGTTGCAGTTATTCTGTTTGTGAACTTCAGACTGTGTTGTTTTACCTTTAAAATTTCTGCTAGTTTGCTGACTTCTGAACTTAAAAGACTTAATATAAGTATACTTTTTATTGCACAGAACATCTGTCCATTTGCTCATTCAAAAATATTTTTGTACATCTTTATGCTTTTGTACATCAGTATGCTACACACCAGATAAACAAAACTTGACTTTTCAGATGGTGTTTGCCATTGTGGAGTTTACAGTCTAGTGGGAAATGGAATGAGTATCTATGTGTGAAGTTAGATCTTAGAGAGGCAAGACAATTTGACCTAGTGGGTATGGGGGGAGGGTGGGATTAATTAGTATACATGTACCATACTGAGATTTCAGAATAATGACAGGTAGTAAATAGATTCATGTGGGTGAAGTTATGTTAGCTGTGCCAAATGGACTTTCATAGGAATGGAAGTAAAAAATATATTTAAGGTTTATCTTTAAAAATATTTAATACTTGCCCTGACTGGTGTGGCTTAGTGGATTCAGCATAAGCCTGTGAACCAAAAGGTTGCTGGTTTGATTCCCTCTTAGGGCACATACCTGGGCTGCAGGCCAGGTACCCTGTTGAGAGTGCGTGAGAGGCAGCCTATCAGTGTTTTCTCTCGCATATTGATGTTTCTTTCCCTCCTTTCCCATCTCTGTAAAAATTAATAATTAAAATCTTAAAAAAAAGTTTGATGCTTAGGAATCAACAGGTATAGTAAATGAGAATTGTGATACATACATAAGATCACGTTGAATTATGTGACAGTTTTCTGTAATACTGAGCAAGAAAATGTACCTCAGATTACTTATTCTAGGAGAGTAAAACAGAGGGGCTGAATTTATGATCCCTCCCAGTGCTAAAATCCTAGTCTTAATTTTTTTTCATTTAGCAGTTTCTTGATGGCTTTGATTATTGGAAAGTCAAAATACTTTCTTTTCTATACTTCAAGCTTCAAGAATTAAAAATGGGGGGATAAGGCTTTGCTTTCTCTAACTGATATTTTCTGACTAGGTACTTCGTAACTCAGGAAGACCTCATTTATTCCCAGTAATATGTTTTACTAAACTCTTTCAGGTAACTTTAAAAAGACTGTGTGATTTAATAGTAGTTTATGGCTTGAACTCAGTTTTTATTTATTGCTTTCGTTAGAAAATTTTAGTGAGGTGTTCTTCTTTGTCTCTATAGTTATCAGAGACTATTACAGACAATTGCTGTACTTGAGGCTCAACGTTCTCAAGCAGTCCAGGACCTTGAAAGTTTAAGCAGACACCAGAGAGAAGCACTAAAAAATCCCATTGGATTTGTGGAAAAACTCCAAAAGAAGGTATGTATTGAACACTTTATACAATTTATTGAGATATATTTGGTAATAACTTGTTTTTTTAACATGGTATATAATTTTTAAAAATGTTTAATTTTTCCCCTGCTGTAATTGGCCGTACTTCTGAAGGCAGAGTGTACTTACCGTCTTCCTTGACCCCCATCAAATATACACAAAATACATCCCAGTGAAAATAGCTAGTAACTTTATGTGGATGCTCATGTAGGAACTTGATGACCTGTTCCCTAACCAGTTTTATGATCTTTTCCTGTTACCTTCCCCATCTTAGAGTGTTTTCCCCTTTTTTTGCTCTCCTAACCTCAGGATTAGTGAAGCTAAAAAAAGAGAAAAAACTTCAGGATTTATTAATTCCTTTAGTTTCAAGTTACTTTTGTAACTCTCAACACAGTGAGACTGAGATAGAAAACAATGATGATAAAAACAAAAACTATTTTAAATGTCTTTAATTTATGGTAGCCAAGTCATGAGATGCAGGTATAAATTTTACTTAATTTTAAAGTGTATTTTAGCGTAAAAATTCCTTATAATTTTGTTTTCCTTAAAACAGATATTTCATATTTAACAGTTAACCATGTGAAAGTGATTCAAGTTTTCATAATAATCTTTTGGTATATAAATATGGAGATAATCTAGATGTGCCTTTATGCCATAGTATTTATTTTTAATTAGGGGCCTACTAATTGTTCAATAAATTTGAGAGGCATAATATTAACCAGCATTGTGTGAAAGGATTAAAACAAAAACTATAAAAAAGAATTCTCTTCTTCACCCTAAAAAACAAAAACCTAGCCTGTATAGTATGACAACTTTAGTTGTTATTAGTTACCTGTTTTTAATGAAATCACAAAGGTGATCTGCGAGCGCCTGGGGGTGTGGCTTGGTTGGAGTATCATCCCATTCACTGAAAGGTTGTGAGTTCAGTTTCTGGTCTAGGCATGTACCTACATTGTAGGTCTGTTCCTATTGAAGCATGTGCAGAAGGCAATAACCAATTAATGGTGTGTTTTTTTTTCTCTCTCTCCCTCTGGAATCAATACATATAAATAAAAAAATTAACTATCAGGTGTTACAGAAACAGATGGGGGACTTTATAATTTAGATGTATTAATTTATTTATTTGGATTTTTCTAGCTATAATACTTACTTGGCAACCATTCCTTTCTCTTTATGCTTTAAGAATACTGAATATCTTGATGTAGAATCGATGTATTGATTAGTTAAAACTTTTAATGTTTCTAGAACCCTATTGTATCCTCCTTGTATTAGGGGCTCAGTTAGGTATTTATTGACTCAGCATTGCTGTTATTAAAAAATTTGCTATTGCAAGAAGATATATTATTACAATGATTACTTAAAATGGATCCAGCTAAAAACAGATGGTATCAGAATAGTAAATACTAATAAAAATCGGTTACCTTAATTTTATTTTATTCATGTTTCTCTGTGGACTGAAAACAGAGTTAGGCACATTTACTAGAAATGTGTGCAGTTGATATTTACTGGTTCTCCCTTTCCAGGTTTAGTTTGTTTTTTTTTTTTCTTTTCCAATCCATGAATACAGTGTATCTTTTTATTTTTTTAGTTCTTTAATTTCTCCTAGTAATACTGTGTAGTTCCAGTGTTCTGCACGTATTTGGTTAAATTTATTGGTAAGCATTTCACATTTTTGATACTGTTATAGCCTGTATTTTAAACAGAATCTCTGTTTGTGGCTAGCACATAAAAATGCAATTAATTTGTACATATTGGCCTTTGGTCCTGTGATTCCACCATCTTTTACTAGTTTCAGAGGCTTTTTTGTAGATTCTTTCAGATGTTGTATCATGTTGTCTGTGAATAAAGATAGTTTTACTTCTTTTTTTCCATTCTTTATAGCTTACTGTCTACTACACTGGCTTGAACCTCCATTATAGTGCTGAATAAAATGATACTGTTCTATAAATATCGATTTGATAAATGTGCTTTATATGTTGTTAAAATCTTCTCTCTTTATATTTTTTGTTGTTTCATTAATTTTATAATGTGTGTTCAAGTCCTCAAGTGTAATTGTGGTTTGTCTCTTTCTGAGTTCTGTTCTTAGGTGCATACACATACAGGATTTCATGTATTTTTTTCTTTTAAGATTTTATATGTTTATTTTTAGAGAGGAGAAGGGGTGGGGAAAAAGAGGGAGGGAAGCATCAATGTGTGGTTGCCTCTTGAGTGCCCCTTACTGGGCACCTGGCCTGCAACCCAGGCATGTGACCTGACAGGGAATCGAACCAGTGACCCTTTGGTCAACACTCAATCCACTGAGCCACACCAGCCAGGGTAGGATTTCATATATTCTTGATGAACAGATCCTTCTATAATTATGAAATGCCCCTCTTCATCTCTGGTAATATTCTTTTTTCTTGAGGTTTTTTCTATATACCTTTTTGTATGGGGGGGGGTGTGTGTGTGCCCATTCTTTTATTTTCATTCTTTCTGTGATATATTCCAAGTCATTTCTTGAAGACAGCATGTAGTTGGGTCTTGATTTTTCCAACTTTTTATTTACAGAGATTCTTTGCACCCTTCACCCAGTATCTCCCAATATTAACATCTTATGTTAAATAGTAAAGTATCAGTACTAGAAAAACAACGTTGGTGCAATCCACAGAGCTTTCAGGTTTCTCCAGTTTTATATATATTCAAATCTGTGTGTGCTTCTATATAATTTTATCATATGTGTAGCTTTGTGTGACCACCACCACCACCACCACCACATCACACTATAACAGTTATCACCACAGGGCTCCTGGTACTCCTTCCCAGCTATCACCCTTTCGCCTCCCAATCCGTAACTACTGGCAACCAGTCCATCTCTTCTCCATCTTTATCATTGTATTTTCAAGACTGTTATATAAATGGAACCATTCAGGATGTCACTTTTGAGACTTGAGTTTTTTTTCATTCAGTAAGTTTCCTTTCATGTTCTTCAAGGCTAGTGTGTGTATCAGTAGTTCATTCCTTTTTGTTGCTGAGCAGTACTCTAGAGTACCGCTTTTTAAACCAGCCAGTCTGTGCATTTTATTTGTTTGTTTGTTTACAGAGGGGGGTGAAGGGAGGAGGAAAGAGAGGGAGAGAAACATCAAGTGTGTGGTTACCTCTCAAATGCCCCCTACTAGGGACTGACCCACAACTCAGGCATGTGCCCTGACTGGAAATTGAACCTGTGACTCTTTGTTTTGCAGGCTGGTAATCTACTGAGCCACATCAGCCAGGGCTTAAGCCAGTCAGTCAATCTGTGCATTTTAATTGAAGTGTTTTGTCCATTTATCAGTACCATCTTATTTTTCTAGTTGTCCCAACTATTTTGTTTTGTGTTCTTCTTTGCCTCTTATCCTATCTTGTTTTAGGTCAGTAATTAACATTTTTTAACATTTGGTTTTAGTTCTTTTATTGGCCCCTTAGCATCCCTTTTATATTTTTTTTCGATGTTGTTTTAGAGATTTCCATGTCCACTATTCCGTTACTATAATCTACTTAGAATTAACGTTATTATACTTCACATAAAATGTACAAATCTCGCAGCAATAAAATTTCATTTACCTGCTCCTTGTCCTTTGTACTGCTTGTCTTCAATTTTACATTTACATACATAATATACCCCACAAAACAATGTTATTATTTTAATGTACTTAAATTGATTAAGTTAAAATAGCATAATTCCTTTTTAATTTATTTTAATATGCTTTTCTTTTTTTAATTCTATTTTTCAATTATAGTTCACATTTAATACAATTTGTATCAGCTTAAGGTGTAACAGCACAGTGGCTAGACAATTACACACTCTACAAAGGTTCCCCAATACTTCTAGCACCCACCTGGCACCATACACAGCCATCACAACATTAATCCAGGTTTAATTAAGAACTGACTTTCTTTGTATTTTATTTCAGAAAAAGTTATGATACAGAGCACCTTAAGAATTTTTTACAAAAAAAATTTACAGGTGTATGTTAAATTCAGATACTTGAGTATTTGTAAAAGACATTCCTTGGAAAGAATTTTTCTACTGGATTTACTTTAGATGTTTAACTCTTGTTTTTCTATGTTTATTCATGTATTCTTTATTTGCCTGTTTTCTTTAGATTTACCCTATTAAGTTGACATGTGATCTGTTTCAGTGGGCATCCAGAAACTCCTCATTAAAATTGAGGAAATTTATGGTATATATTAGTATATAGAATGCAGGGAACATTTACGGCTTGTTAGCTTTCTTTGATATTACCATTGCTGCTAGAGAAGACAGTCTAATTTTGCAGAAGTGGATCCTTAAACTTATAGGTTCTATTACGATAATGATTGTGGTAATGTAATATGTATAAGCAAAATAAAAATTAAGCATTTTGTGTCACAAAGTAGATTTTGCTTTCCAGTTTTTATAATTTATGACCGGATTTTTTTTCCTTCGTGTCTCATGAAAAAATGCTAAGTACACCAAAATCTTGAAGGTATTGTTATTAGTTAACATACACATATCTACCACCTAGATTCTGCAATTATCATTTTACTATATACTTGCTTTATCTCACACATCTGTCAGTCCTTCAATCCATCATTCCATCTTATTTTCAGATAGAACGCTTTTGATGTATCTCAAAGTTGCAGTCATATACCATAACACTTTATACCAAAACACTTTAGAATGCGTACTATTAACTAAAATTCTTTTTGAAACTTTTTTAAAGATAACATTTTCACACAATGAAATTTACAGATCCTAATTATCATTCTATGAGTATTGACAAAAGCATCTACCTGTGTAACCCAAATTGCTATTAAAAGATATTGATCACAGTGACCTAGTTGTAGTAATTATGACAACTAATGACTTTTCTAAAGGTGGTTGGTAAAGTAATTGAATTGCAAGTAAATTAAAGGTGTAATTTTAATTCTCAAGATGTCATAATTTTTTTACATGTGGTAAAATATATATTGTGAAAATCATGGTGGTACATTTAAAATAAACTGTTGCAGTCAAGTATAATATTTCATATGATTTTATTAAACCTTAAAACCTTTCTTTGCTTTGTTAGTTATGTTTTTAAAGTGTTAGTGATAATGTACAATATGTCAGTATAGTTCAGCCTTAGAACTGTAAAAAGAGTGCTTATGTTCTGTTAAAAACTCATTCTTCTATTTATTGCTATCAACTTTACCATTCAATATTTAGTGTACATTATCTTAACTTCACTGGCTATTGGATTTCAAGAGTGGCTAGAAATGCCCAGTTGATGATTATTTCAATTTAGAGTCATCTGAATTTTGTCAATAGTTGATAATTTCTTTAATTCAATTTAGACTACTTTATTTTATTTTTTCCAGGCTGATATAGGTCTTCCATATCCACAGAGAGTTGTTCAATTGCCCGAGATTGTATGGGACCAATATACCAATAGCCTTGGGAACTTTGAAAGAGAATTTAAAAATCGCAAAAGACATACTAGGAGAGTTAAACTAGTTTTTGATAAAGGTAAGAAATGGTATATGAATTTGAGTAGAGAAATACAACAAAGTCTTGCTTTAATAATCCTACACATGGTGGGTTTTGTTGTTGTTGTTGTTTTTTAGTAGGTTTACCCGCTAGACCAAAAAGTCCTTCAGATCCTAGGAAGGATGGAGAGTCCCTTTCATACTCTATGTTGCCTTTGAGTGATGGTCCAGAAGGCTCAAACAGTCGTCCTCAAGTAAGCAGTATAGAGTGTTTGAGTAGGAAAATTTGAATTGTAGACAAAATATTTTAACCTTTTGTGATTTGTATTGTTAAAATTCAAGCATTCATTCACTGAAGATAGCAGGGACATGAACTTTGAAGTTAATAGAAACCTGGGTTGTTGGAATCCCAACTCTAACCCTTCTAACTGCGGAACTTCAGATGTCATATGTATATATTAAGGTCTCCAAGTTGCAGTTGTCTCATATAAAAATATGATTAATATTCCCTGTGTTGTAGAGTTGTTGTAAGGATTAAATGAGTAATACATGTAATATGCCTTGTATAGTGGTTTTATTTCATAAAACCGAATGAAATAAAGGAATATGAAAACATTTTCTAAAAAATAAAACATTATGTACACATTTTAAAAATAAATTTACTAAAATGTTTTGAAATTAGCCCTGGCTGGCATAGCTCAGTGGATTGAGCGCGGGCTGGGAACCAAAGTGTCCCAGGTTCGATTCCCAGCCAGGGTACATTCCTGGGTTGCAGGCCATAACCCCCAGCAACCGCACATTGATGTTTCTCTCTCTATCTATTTCTCTCCCCCTCCCTCCCTTCCCTCTCTAAAAATAAAAATAAATAAAATCTTAAAAAAAAATGTTTTGAAATTAATAAAAGTGTTTCATACCTTGTGTTATTTGGCTATCTCAAGGGGTAGTCTTTATTATTTTGTCTTTGACAAAAGCCTTGTTTTATATGTAGATGATAAGAGGACGTCTTTGTGATGATACCAAACCCGAAACCTTTAACCAGTTGTGGACTGTTGAAGAACAGGTAATAGATATTTCTAAATTGTGTAGGTTAAAAAAAAAATTAAGATTAGATTATGGATAAAGTATGTATTGTATATAATCCCTGTTCATTGTGAATTTAAAATGCTTAAACTTATTTCTGTATACTTTTCTCACACTTCAAGAATTGTGGGTTTTGCGAATATATGAAATCCTGTTTGGGATGATGTTTGAAGAAGGAACCTAGATTTTGGGAGGGAGATTGAAAAGGTGTGGCTCAGTTGGTTGGAGCATCATCCTGTAACCAAGAGGTTGAGGGTTTGATTCCTGGTACAGGCATGTGTGGGAAGCAACCGATTGGTGTTTCTCTTTTGTATTAGCGTTTCTCTCCTTTCCTTTCTCCTCCTCTCTCTGAAAGCAATGAAAAAAATGTCCTTGGGTGAGGGCTAAAAAATTTTTAGGGAAAAAAAAGGTAGTGAAGTGAATAGAATAAAATTTTTGTAATGCAGTTTCTGGAGAGAGAAAAACTTGAGGCCAAGTTAAGATGTGTCTCAATGTGAATTCTCGTTTTTGTGTGGAGGAAAATTGACAAAGCCAGGTCAGAGTGCTCTGTTGCATTTTGCCACATAGCTAGGATTGTTTGTGGGTCTGGTTTGAGGCACATTTTCTGTCTCATGAGGATTAATCCCAAACTGTAATGAATTATTAAAAGCTTAAGAATTATTACTTCAAGCATCCAAATTATTCTGTATCTTTAGGACTGTGGGAGAATTTAGGAATAGGTCAGAATATTAAAATCAAATATTTTAATGGAGGACCACACAAAGAAAGGAAAAGTTTCTTTTTCTGTCTAAAGCTGAATGAATTTATATGTTTTTGTGAAATGTATAGGAGTAAGCTTAAACATAGTCTAACAAGAAAAGTTGGTCAGAGGGAAAACAACAAGATGTGTAAAATATTAATTAATGTTTTTGTGCTGTCTTTTTACTGAAGTGAATAGAAAATCGTTGTAAGGTCTCCTGTAGGTTTATTCTCTAATCTCATTTTCTCTGTGAAGTCTTTAAGTTGTTTATGAGAAATTTTTCTTACCAAGAATATTTCTGGCACCTACCCTCCCCAAAGTTGGGGAGGAAATACTATAATTTAAAATGAAATCTGAATGTATTTATTTAGATACTTGGTATTAAACTTTCTTAAATGCTGTCTTGGATTTGGCTTAGAAAAAGCTTGAACAGCTACTCTTGAAATACCCTCCTGAAGAAGTAGAATCTCGGCGCTGGCAGAAGATAGCAGATGAACTGGGCAATAGGACAGCAAAACAGGTAATTGAAGAGATGGCCCCATAGTGTTGGTATGTTTTTCATAGTTTTTTAATGAAGAATAATGCAGCCAACAGCAGCAGATCTGCAGCATCATTTTTAGCTACAGAGTGCTATAGAATATAAGGTTTTAAATTAGCATTGCATATTTTTGTGTTGGTTTCAGAAACAACTTGAGATAATCCTTCTTTGAATCATTAATAAATACTAAAAAATAAAAAACGTGATGGACTTAATGTTTGTTGAATGCCTAATGGTGCACTAGTTATATACTTTTTGCTTAAACTGTAGAAATAGATTTGTGACATGGCATTAGTCTCTTCAGCCCTGGTTGTCTCTTAAAAAAAAAAAAGGCAGTTTTCTCTATTACATTCCCATCAATATTAATAGATACGTTTTATGTTATAGGTATATATATTCACAAGCTGAAAATAGGTGTTTAGCTTTGGAATCAAACATTTTTAGAATGTAAGTCTCTTGTGGCAGTTTAAAATTGCTTCCAGATTTATGATAAATTTTAAATTGTTAGCATTCATTTAGATACACATATAAATATTAAATTTTAAAAACTATTCAGTTATTATATACAGGCTTCTATGCTAATGGAAATGACCCAGTAGAAAGGGAATACATAATGGTGTAAGATAGAATGAATAAGTGTAGAACATTTCACAGTGAATCCGTTTGATAATCCTTCAGGATCTTCTGTACCTGCTTTCAAGGGACTTAAATTTTAATGGAAAGCATATACACTTAAATAAATTTCAAAATGGTACAAAAACAAAAAACTATTCAGATATTGTCACGCCTTAGCATTATGTTAAAAGGCTTTTCATATTTCCTTAGGTTGCCAGCCGAGTACAGAAATATTTCATAAAACTAACTAAAGCTGGCATTCCAGTCCCGGGCAGAACACCAAACTTATATATATACTCCAAAAAGGTAAGAAGAAAATAGATAAAAATAAATCTTAGATCTTAGATGAAATTTACCAAAGTCAGAATTGCTATGTAAAAGTATATACATTAGAACACAGTTTTACTTTTAAAATTTGACTTACTCTAAATGTTTTGTTACATGGGACATAAACACAGGATAGGATTCCCTTATTGCTACTAAGTTTAATTGAGTGAGCTTTAATGTTTGTTCATTATTTTCTTAGGAGTAGGTTAGTTTATATGAATGAGTGCTAGCTACTTAAAAGATTTTAGATTGAATGTACTCATATGTTCAAAAGGCCCTTGTGATGATAAAGTTTTTAGGGTGTTTGTCTCTTTATTAAACACAGTAAGTTTCCATTTATTAGATATGTACCTTAAATTCAAGAATAGAAATGTTTAAGACCCTCATCACGATTTTAGGAGTAACTAATACTACCACCTTCACTTTACTGATAATAATGTTAGTAGCTAGCTGTTACTCTCACTATTGATTGCTCTGGACCAGGTGCTGTTGTACCACCTTTTTATAGGTAAGAAAACTAAGCCTTAAGATATGTTGAGTAAATTGTCTGCTCACATAGCTGTTAAGTCCAGGAACCATTGATGCTGTCATTCTCATCGCAGGCCATGTCCATTATTCTCTGCTTGTCTCCACCAGTGAAAGAGCTACAGTCCCTTTCCTATAGAATGTGCTGTATCAAATTGTAGCCAGGTGTTTTGTTTTGTTTTTATGCTTTACTTATGAAAAATAAAGCAAATAATGGCCTAATTTTATTTCCTTAGTAAATAATCCTGATGCTTCCCCTCCTCTACCACTGCCATCCTTCACAATAAAGTGAAGTTAAGAGTGTATCTAATGCTGTGACCCTTATTGAAGCTATTTTACATAATTTTATGTTAAGAATATTGTCTATACAATTCCATGTTTTCTAAATTTTGTTTTTAACAAGTTTTGGAAGCTTGTTTTAATTTGTCAGTTGTTTTAAATAACCTGGATTTTGTTTTCCCCTAAATACTAACATCTATATTACATATGTAGAGGCCATACTGTAACTTTGGAGTATTGGAACCTTAATAACCAACATTCAACTTAACAAGTCTAATTTTTGGTTAGTTTTTAAGTTAACCTTAGATGTATTGTGTACCTTATATAATCACAGCTAAGACTAGATAGTAATAAAAGAAATAGAGAAACCTAAATATGTTTCCTCCTTTGGATGCAAAGAATTTTAAGTTAGCAGACATTTTTACTGTAGAGATACAGCCCAAAGTGATTCCTTACTTTGGTTAGACTTTGAATTTTGAAACCTGAAATAATGGTTCTTCATGTAGCTGAGGTTATTCTTTGTGGCTAATGGAAAGGCATTCTGCATAGTGGTTTAGAGGGAGAGCTTTGGCATTACATGGGCCTAGTTTGTGGTATTGGTTCTACCACTATTGAGCTGCAACACCTTGCACAAGCAGCTCAACCTCCCTGTGCCTCTGTTTTTTTAACCTTAAATGAAGTGATAATAATCGCTTCATAGGAATGATGTGGGGCTTAAATGAGATTGAGTAAGCAGTAAATCAATGTTAAGTACTATTTTCAGACATTGACCATGTTGTGGAAATTTTTGATAGTCTTCTCTCTGGCTTAGGCTACTTTATTCCCTCCCTAATTTCTATAAGAGAACCGTAAGAAGAGCTCAGTTCAGTATTTGAATGCCAAGTGATAAGTGCTGGGGATACAAATGTAAGCTGAATAATAAGCATGTGGTTCTGTTGTTGGGGTACTCCCTCTACATTTGGTTTTGGGGGGGCGGTTTAAGGCTAATTGTGGTTTAAAAATTCAAATAACAGAAAAAAACAGCTGCATAAGAATATGATGAAAAAGGTGAGATTCTTCTAATTGATAGAGTTGAAGAAAGTAACATTTATATTTTTATCTTCTTGATTCTTTTAATGATTACCCACTGTTTCAATTATAAATTTTTTTTTTCATTTAGTCTTCAACAAGCAGACGACAGCATCCCCTTAATAAGCATTTGTTTAAACCTTCCACTTTTATGACTTCCCATGAACCACCAGTATACATGGATGAAGATGATGACCGATCTTGTTTTCATAGCCATATGAACACTGCTGTTGAGGAGGCATCAGTAAGTTATCATCTGTTTATACTATTTGTGTATATTTATCTATTCATTGTACAGATTAGGATACAGAATGAGAGCACTTGGATTTTCTAATTCTATTCCTCAGAGAATGTTGGTTTCTTTTTTTTTTTTTTTTAACAAGTCAAATTTATGAGTTAATTTTTTTACATTAACAAGTAAAATTTTTTAATAAAATAGAATAGTATAATAAACCTACATGTACCCATCACCCAACTTCAACAATGATCGATTTATGGCAATCTTATTTTCATCTGTACTTCCTACCCATCCCAACTTTGTCAGTTCACATTTTCCCAGTTTTAAATTGCAGTATATTTTCTTCTTCCCTCCCTCCTTTTAGCAGCTCACAACTTTTTTGTTTTTGTTGTTGAAAAACTGAGTTATTTGTCTTGTAGGATTTGCCACCATGTGGATTTTATTCTTTGCCTCTCCTTGGTGTCATTTAATTTCTTTCTCTGTTCCCTGAATCTCTGTAAATTGACAAGTCTAGATAATGGATCAGACAAAGATTTCTTGTTTTGTTAGGGTGGGCAGGACTACTCCATGTGTACTTTCATCAGTCTGGTCATCTCTCTCTCTCTCTTTTTTTTTTTTTATTAAAATAGCAGCCTTCAGTTGTTGCCTAGATCTGTAAATTCATTAGATGTTATGAAATAGTGATATTCTTTGATCTTCACTTACTATTGAGAATATAAAGTAAATCCTCTTCCTCAACTATTTGATTACCGTACATACACTAAAAGGCAGTATAACTACTAGGGGAGGGGAGGGGAAGTGGATAAATATACAATAAACTATTCATACTGGTTATTTGAGAGGAAGTAAGGTAAGGTTGAAAAGAGCTTCGTTTTTGTTTTAAATATGTATAAGATACCTGTACTTATTATAGTGAACATTTATTACTTTAGTAATCTGAAAAAAAAAATGCTTTGAAATCTAATCCCATCCACCAACATGGAAACCACTGGACAAATTTATTTATTTATTTATTTATTAAAAATTTTTTTAAAGGTTTTATTTATTTTTAGAGAGAAGGGAAAGGAGAGAGAAAGAGAGGGAGAGAAACATCAGAGCATGGTTGCCTCTTGCACTCCCCCCACTGGGGAACCTGGCCTGCAACCCAGGCATGTGCCCTGACTGGGAATCGAACCAGAAAACTTTTGCTTCTCAGGCTGGTACTCGATCCACTGAGCCACACTAGCCAGGGCAAAAATTTATTTTTAGAGTTCTTTTTTTTTTTTTTAATTCTCATCTGAGGACATGCTTATTGATTTTTAGAGAGAGGGGAAGGCAGGGAGAGAAACATCTATCGGTTGCCTCTTATACGTGCACCAACTGGGAACAGAATCTACAGCCCAGGTATGTGCCCTGACCAGGTATTAACCTGCAACCTTTTGGTTTTACTGGGCAGGGCTCCAGCCAGCTGAGCCACACCAGCCAGGGCAACACTGGGCAGTTTTAGAACATCTTGGACTACTGCCTGATTCTTCTTCTTATGTTCTTGTTTTTTGTTTTTTAAACCTCACCTGAGGACATGCTTATTGGTTTTATTTTTTAAATTTATTTACTTTTTTAAAGGTTTTATTTATTTTTAGAGAAAGGGAGGGAGGGAGGGAGGCAAGGAAGGAGGGGGGAGAGAGGGGGGAGGGAGGGAGGGAGGGAGAGAGAGGGAGGGAGGGAAGGAGGGAGAGGGGGGGGAGAGAGATATGCCTCTTGAGAGAGAGAGAGAGAGAGGGAGGGAGGGAGAGAGAGAGAGAGGGAGAGAGATATGCCTCTTGTCCATCTTGTCCATGCCCTGACCAGGGACTGAACTCACAACCTTTCAGTGTACAGGATGACTCTCCAACCAACTGAGCCACACCAGCCAGAGCTATTTTCTTCTTCTTAAAATAATGAGCTACACCTGGCTGGTTGGAGCTCAGTGGATTGAGCTTGGACCTGTGAACCAAAAGTTCACCAGTTGTATTCCCAGAGCTATTTTCTTCTTTTTAAAATAATGAGCTACACCTGGCTCTTTGGAGCTCAGTGGATTGAGCTTGGGCGTGTAAACCAAAAGTTCACCAATTGTATTCCCAGTCAGGGCACATTGCCTGGGTTGCAGGCCAGGTCCCCAGTAGGGGGTGCATAAGGGACAACTGCACATTGATGTTTCTGTCCGTCTCTTTCTCTCTCCCTTCCCTTCTCTCTAAAAATAAATAAATAATAATAATAATAATAGAAAAATGAGTTTATTCTCTAATACTCTCTGAAAATGACTAATGAGTTTTTTAATTTTGTATTCTTAAGAACTGTTAGACTTAAATATATTTAATGTGTTTCAGTACATTGATAGTTGTAACCTATTCAGGTTGGATTTTGAATTCTTTGACAAGACTCCAGTAGTCTTTGATAGCTTCTTTACTGTCTGGTATGTCAAGGAAGTTATGGGTCATTTTGTATATTTCCTTACTCTGGGAATGTTAGTTGCTATTTTGTTGATCATTGTTTCTAGGCCCATTTAGTGGCCTAAGCTGGGAAATGAGTTATATATTTGTTCAAAGATAAAACACATCATAAGGTCATATTTTTATTTCAAATCCAACTTAAAAATTATGGGGATTTTAGTTTCCCTTATTGATCTTACATATGTATCTCCTTTGTCCCACTTTGAAGATCCCATTATCATTGTAATATCACTGTCTTCATCTTACACTGCTCACAAAAGTCTCAGAATATACTAACGCTACTATCAATGATATGTTTAGTGAAAAAAAGATTTTTTTTAAGTTCTTTTTTGCTTCAGGATATATCCGACTACAGAAGTGAAGTCAAATTACACTTTTTAAATCCTCTTAGAATAATTCCTCTCTGTTTGATCAGCTGGATGCTAATTTGGTTAATTCCTTTCAATTTCACTTTTTATTTATAGCTATTTATTTTTATTGCTGTTAATATTTTTTTATCCTGAAATTCATTTTATCAATAATTAACATGATTCTGATTCCTTACTTAAAGGACATAAAGATTACCTTATATCTTTCTTAAACTCTGGTTATATGTAATAATGGGAAAAGGAGATTTTAATGAAAAATCATCAGATAAAAGTAAGTCTTTGTTCTATTTTTAGATTAATCAAATATTGATTGTATTTTTTTGGTATCAAACTATTATAAAATGTCCTTTTTTAAAAAATTGATTTTAACTTGTGTTTTGAAATGACTGATACCTGCTATGTCTTAGGATGTGCCAATTTTATACTTTGTGACTATTAGAATTATTTTTTAATTTTTTAATTATTATTATTTTTAATTTTATTTTAATCATTGTTCAAGTACAGTTTTCTCCCTTTTACTCCCAATCCAGCCCACCCACCCATCCCTCCCCACTTCCCTCCCATTACCACCCTCCCCCTAGTTTTTGTCCATGTGTCCTTTAAATTTGTTCAGAATTATTGATTTCAGAAATATTTATTTATACTTAATATATATCAGTCTCTGCTAGAGTTCAGCTAAATACCTGTAGTTGTAAACAGAATATCTATATCTTTGCTCTCATAAATTTTAGTTTTGTGAGAGGAGATAAATGTATACTTACATTAATAAATTACAGATTTTAAAAAGTGCTTCAAAAATGTTCTAGCATAATTATTTAAGGGGTACTTAATTTAGATTGGGAGTTTAAATGGGAGACCGGAGGAAGTGACAATTAAGCTGGCAATTGGAAGATCGATAAAATTTAGCCAGGTGAAGAGTAGTAGCAGGATATGTAAAAGAAGTACACTTTGAGAACATTGGCAAAATATAATATAGTAGATTTAACTTTTGTTTGGTTGACTTTACTTATTTTTAAATGAACACCAGTTCAAATTATCCTGATTACTTTAAAATAGTTGTTCAAATGTATACAGTAGTCCCCTCTTCTCCTCAGGGAATACATTCCAGGACACCCCTTTCTCCCCCAGTGGGTGCCTGAAACCACAGGATAGTGCCAAACCTTATAAATACTGTGTTTTTTCTTGTATGTACATACCTGTGATAAAGTTGAGTTTACAGAGTAGGCAATTTCATAGGTAGATTTGTTCTTACTGCAGATCTTAGCAACCTTAATGTAGGAAATTTTTTTCTTTTCTCATTAAGTTGAGAATTTTTACCTTTTTACTTCAAAGAAGCACTTTACAGCTTCTTTGGCATATCCAAATTGCCACCATCACTACTCTTGTGATCTGGGGCAGTTATTAAGTAAAATAAGGGCTCCTTAACCAAAAGCACTGCAATACTGTAAGAGTCTGATACTTGACACAGTTACTAAGCGACTAGCTGACAGGTAGCATATATATGGTTTAGATACACTGGACAAAGGAATAATTTATGTCCCAGGCAGGATGGATAGGGGTGGTGTGAAATTTCATCATGATACTCAAAATGGCTCATAACTTAAAACTTATGAATTACTGATTTCTGGAATTTTTCCACTTAATATTTTCAGATTGCAGTTGTCCATGGGCAACTGAAACCATGGAAAACAAAAGTGGGGATATCTACTGTATTCATGAACCCTGTAGTGGTAAAATTTGCAGATTTTAATTTCTCTTTCCAGGGAAAAAAAAGAACTAAGACAATGTGATTACATGTATATATTTCCTTAGATTTAAATTGTGCATTTTAGCACCATTGACATTAGTTATATTTCCCCTCTATGTAAATTTAAAATAATTAGAACTAGGATGTCTGTTTATGGGTGAGTAATTTTTTGTAATTTTTACTTTTAATTGTGGTAAATACATATAATATAAAAGTTACCATTTTACCAATTTTAAGTATACAATTCAGTAGCATTAAGTATATTCATATTACCATGCAAGCTTTAGAACTCTTTACAGTTTGCAAACTGAAACTCTGCATTCATTTAACATTCCCTCCTTCTTCCAGCCTCTGGCAACTACCAGTGTGTACTTTATGTCTCTGTATCATTTCCTTCCTTTTTAAGGCTGAATAACACTGCATTATATATACACACCATACCTTGTTTATCCATTCATCTGTCAGTGCATACTTAGATAGCTTCAACCATTGGGCTGTTGTGAATACTGCTATGAACAGGTATATAAATAACTATCTATTCAAGTCCCTGCTTTTACTTCTTTTAAGTATAGCCAGAAGAGAACTGCTGGATCACATGGTGATTTGGTTTAATTTTTGAGGAACCATCACACAGTTTTACACACTGGCTGCAATATTTTCACCAACAATGCTTAGGCATTTCAATTTCTCTAACATCCTTGCCAGTACTTATTATTTTCTGTTTGTTTGTTTGTTTGTCTGTCTGTTTGTTATTGTCTTTTGATAATAGCCACCCTAATGGGTGTGAGGTAATTTAACTTCTCTTAATCTTAGTATTGTTGACCAAATTCAATAATATCCTTAGACTTAAAAATGCAAATTTAAAAATAAAAAATGTAGCAGAGTTTTTACTTTGTATTTGCTTAAAGTATCTGAATTCAATAAATTTCATTATAAAATCGCTTACTACATTATTTAGGTCACATATTTATTAATGGTACACATTTATTAGATTACTTACGTTGTCTAAGTGGTGACATAGGAACGCAGTAGCTATTATTTAATATCTTCAGTTGACAGGAATTTGAAATGAATGAAAGATAGTGAGACCTTATGGGAGATGATGTGTGATTGTAGAGAATCTTTTACCTAGCTAAGGACTTTGAATATGATGTTATAGACAGTCAGGAAGCCTTTGGAAAATTTTAAGCAATGATCAGGGCAGAGGAGGGAATGGATGCTATAGATGGCCAAGTTGAGAGAGGTATTAAAAACTGTTAAATAGTGACAGAATTTGTTGGATTAGATATAAGTGAAAATTTAAGGATACCTCTCTTACTTAGGCTTCAAGCTGCTAAATTTGTAAGGAGTTAGTCAGACAAATCGGATTCATACCATCAGACTCTACAACTAATTAACTATTTGACCTTGGACAAATGTTATAATTCCTATAAAGGCCAGTTTCCTTGATGTAAAATAAACACCATAGTTTAATAATACCTAGTATGGAGAACAAGAGGGATGAGAGGGCCAAGGGTTGTCTGGTCCAGGATTGGGAATTGATAAAATATGGGGTCAGTGAATTGGGTGTGCTTTTAGGAGTGTTGTGGAAATTAGTGACCATGGGATCAGTCATGAGGTAGCAAAGAAAGAAAAGGGTTCTGGGTGACAGCACAAATAAATTGGGAGAATAGGAAGTAGTGGCTCATCTTTTAACTTCAGCTTCATATCTTTATATGGTTTTTATTACTCATCTTTGTGACTTATTTCATCCCCTCGAGTAAGAGAGGAATGTAATGCCTTGATCATTGGGAGTACAGAACAAAAAGCAAGCAGAGATTGGTGTGCTTGTTAGTAAAAAGTCTTATTTACCTGAGGAAGCATCAGAGTGCTTTCAAGTAGCCACAAATGTGTCCTGGTGGAGTGAGGCTGCATTAGTGTAAGACAGAGGTGGGAATCATGCCATGTTTCCCTGGTACTGGCATTATCAAGGTAGCATACTACAGTCCCGTATTACTCTTGCATTAAGAAGCTTTCCAAAAGCACGAGTCTGAAAATTGCTAATAGCAACACCAATTTTCTGTGCTTGTAATTTTCTAAAAGATGAGGAGCCTTTAAAATGAAAAATCTTGTTGATAGAAAATATTCTACATCACTATTCTTACATTTAGTTCATTTTATTTATCAAACTGATGTTTTGTTTTGTCTTATTTCGATAGGATGAAGAAAGTATTCCTATCATGTATAGGAATTTACCTGAATATAAAGAACTATTACAGTTTAAAAAGTTAAAGAAGCAGAAACTTCAGCAAATGCAAGCTGAAAGTGGATTTGTACAACATGTGGGCTTCAAGGTAAATACTACTTACTATAATCTTATTTAATTTTTGAAAGGATGATAAGAGATATTTAGGTAGTCTTGGAGCTTTAAATGCCACAACTTTCAAGCATACAGGTAAATGTAAATATAGCTCTTGTCCTGTTTATTTATATAAAGTAATGTGCTATAGTTTTAAAAGACAGACACACAGGTGTGTCTATACTTCAAGGTAAAATGTGAGATGAGAAGTTTTTGTCTAGATATTTCTCCTTTTTTGAGATATAATTGACAAAAAATTGTATGTATTTAGGGTATAAATAAAATTACCTCACAAAGTTACCACTTTTTTGTGTGGGGAGAACACTTAAGATACACTCTGTTTGCAAATTTCCAGTGCTGTATACTTGAAAATTATTATTAAATGTCATCATGTTCTGTATATTAGGTCTCCAGAACTTACTATCTTATCATTGAAAATTTGTGGCACTTTGACCAATATCTCCCCGCTTTTCCTACCCTTGTTTCCCAGCCCTGTTCTGTTCTCTTTTCTGAATTTGACATTTTAGATTTCACCTATCAGTGAGATCATGTAGCATTTGTCTTTCACTGTCTGGCTTATTTTAATTTGAATAATGCCCTCTAGGTTTATCCATGTTGTCACAAATGGCAGGATTCTCTTCTGTTTTATGGCCGAATGCCTGTATGTATGTCCATGTGTGTGTGACATCTTTATTCATGTACCCATGGAGTTATTTCTCTTTTGTTGCTATTGTTCATGGATCAGAAATTTCTTTCCCCTTTCAAATTCATTTATCTTTGCTACTTTTTTCAGAGACTAGTAGAAATACATTTATTCATTCCACTAAATTTTGAAATACTCATTATGTTTCAGGCTCTTTCAGCAGTAAACAAGACAGACTCAGTTTCTGCGCTTACTTAGTCTGTTTTCATCTTAAGGAATTTAGAGAAGTTAAATAAGTAAAATAGTTGAATACAACTAGAGTGCATATTGGAGAGTAGTGAGGAGCTATTGGAGTGCCTTGGAAATTTTGCTAAGGAGTTTAAACTGTTCTAAAGCAGCAGTCCCCAACTGTTTGGCAACAGGGACCAATTTTGTGGAAGATAATTTTTCAAAAAGATGGGGAGTAGGGAGGGATGTTTTTGGGATAATTCAAGTGCATTACATTCAAAATCACCTCCTGCTGTGCAGCCTGCTTCCTAACAGGCCTGGACCTGTACTGGTCCCCAGAGCTTGAGGACCCCTGTCCTAAAGGATTGAGGAACCATTGAAGGATTTTCAGCAGACAGTAGTATGAAATTTGCATCTCAGGGAGGTCATTCTTAAACTATCAGTATTGACAACCTAAGGAATGCAGTTGGTTTAGAGTAGATAACTCCTAATTTCTGACTACTATGTTGTTAAATTGTTTTTTAAAGTATTTCATTTATTTTTAGAGGGAGGGGAAAGAAAGGAGAGAAGCATAAGTGAGGGAGAGAAGGGAGAGAAACATAAGTGTGCGAGAGATACATTGATCAGTTGCCTCTCGCAGCATACCCCAAACTGGGGGCCTGGCCCACAACCCAGGCATGTGCCCTAACCAGGGATTGAACTGGCAACCTTTTGGTTCACAGGCCAGAACTCAAACCACTGAGCCACACCAGCTAGGGCCTATGTGTTAAATTTTTTAACAGTAACATAGTCATGTATGTTAATTTGTGTAATTGAAAAATATTAAGTGAAGGAGAAAAAGAACATTGTGTCCTTAGTATGGAGAATGGATAGGAAGAAAAGGTGGCTGGAGGCAGGGAGAGTGGGTTAGAGATATTTTTGATAATACAGACAAAAAATGAGAATTTCTTGAATTTGCCTGTTGCCTGTGGAAATAGAGGTTTACAGATTTGAGACCACTTTAGGCATTAGAATTGACTGTACTTGATGAGATTGGAGGAAGTAATGATGAGACCATGAGTTTGGTGGTAGTGGTGTACATAAAAATATTGATGTATGGTGTAAATAATTATCCCTGATTTTCTTGTGTGGCCATTAGTCAGACTATATTAAATGATTTTTCTCTTTGATCTCTCAGTGATCCTACTTTTGTTTTATTAGAGATTTTCTTAATTGGCAGCTCCAGCCTTTCAAGAGGAAACTCTTCACTTCTTAAAATTTTGCTGCAAGACCCAGCTGTGGCTTATTGGCCAGTCTGTTGACCATTCTAGTTGGCCTGATGATCAGGGAAACTAGAAATAATATTTACTTTGATTTCCAAAATAGCACAGAACACAGCCAGGGCTACCACAGTGTCACTCACTGAGAAAGAGCTGTATCTTCCCTTTTTTTTCCGTATTGGGCATTGGTTATCAGGAGACTTTGGAGAGGAATTTTGTCTTCACTTGGGTTTATGTTAGGTATGATAGGCTGCTAAACAGTTCTGTAACATATTTGGATAGTTTTAACTATCCAGAGGCATTGAGTGGTTCCCAAATTACAGTCATTATACACTAGTGTGAGGTATTTTTGAAGTACCTCAATCAAATGCCAAGTTTGTAGTTGCTTTATTTAAATTTTTTAAAACTGAAGACATATTATTTTGTATAATGCTCTTCTTACCCACCTGTAGCTTGATCTTAAATGGATGGAATTTCAGCTATTTTGCTAGAAACTGTATCTAACATTTAACCATGTTTATGTTAGACCACTGTCTAGTGCATTGGGAGAGAGGCGAGGATGTCTGTGTGCACCTCGTGTGCTTTCCAGAAGAAAAAAAAAATAGGTTTTGGAACAATATAGATTAATACTCTTTCTTTCTGAATCCTTTATAGTGTGATAACTGTGGCATAGAACCTATCCAGGGTGTTCGGTGGCATTGCCAGGATTGTCCTCCAGAAATGTCTTTGGATTTCTGTGATTCTTGTTCAGACTGGTAAGTGTTGTCTATACTTCATATCTTAAATTTTGACAAGTAGAGAGCATCTCAGCAGCTAGTGAATTTGATTTCCAGGCCACTGAGAAAATCACCACATCTGGTGGATTAAACTTTGTTGTTCTGAGGCAGCGGTTTTCAACCTGTGTGCTGCAAGAATTTTTAAGACATCTAGTATCTGACATTTAGTCAGGGTCACTGACCAAGAGGTTGCCTTAGAGGTTCCCTTAGATTGTCTAAAAAGGAAAAAAAAAGTAACAGCCAACACAACAATAGCCATATAGTGGGAATGAATCAAAATTACACTTTTTCTTTTCTTTTTTTTTTTTTTTTAGTCAAATTGGCAAAAAAGTTTTTTTGTTGTGTACAGAATTATTAGTTTATGTGTGCCATGAGATGGAAAAGGTTGAAAATTTTTGTTCTTAGGCAGTAATGGAAAGTAACTAACTTTCCATTAGAGATTTTAATAGATTAATGGATTTAAACTGGCTGAGCTATGAGGAAATTTTGTAATATTTAGGCCAGAATGCATCTACTGCCGTGTAATAATGTGTTTGGTGTGTGTTTTTTCTTTGCAGTCTGCATGAAACAGATATTCACAAAGAAGATCACCAACTAGAACCTGTTTATAGGTCAGAGACATTTTTAGACAGAGACTACTGTGTGTCCCAGGGCACCAGTTATAATTACCTTGACCCAAACTACTTTCCAGCAAACAGATGACATGGAAGAGAACATCATATACTAGTCCTCTTCAACATATAGCAATGGTATCATTGTGAATTATGTGCACAGTTTGGAAAGATTCTCTGCTTTCCCTGAAGTGACACTCACAGCATGACAGCTTCCTGAGTGTTCTCGTCAAGTCCAGCTCTGCACTGTTGTGGCTCTAGATCACTGTTCAGCAGCTGAACATTCCTGGTGAGCTAAGGGTTTCCTTGGTGAGTTTCTCACCACCACCTTAAAGTCTTTTAGGTGGCGCTTAAATAGGTGAGATGGAAATGAGAGCACACATTAAAAAGTGAGTAAATTCCAAAGGTTTTGAAGAACTCGGTCATAAATATGATAATGAGAAGACAAAAGTATTTATATAAAACAGTTTAGTAGCTTTCAGTTTTGTGAAAATAGTTTTCAGCACAGAAACTGACTTCTTTAGACAAAGTTTTAACCAATGAAGGTGTTTGCTTCTAGAATATACACTTTAAAAAAATTGTCCCAGTGGCGGCCTTTGATGGCCTTTAGTAAATTGGAGCTGCTTAACCACATTGATGTCTAATTTCTTTTAACCACAATGAACTGTCCTTATTACCAACAGTGAAGCACTACAGGAGGCAGCAGTCACATTGCTTCCTTAACCAGCTCATGGTGTGTGAATGTTATAAAATGGTCACTCAGATAATATTTTTAAATGTAATGTTATATAAGATGATCATGTGATGTGTACAAACTATGGTGAAAAGTGCCAGTGGTAGTAACTGTGTAAAGTCTCTAATTCACAACATTAATTCTTTTGAAATACACAGCCTTCTGCCTCTGTATTTGGAGTTGTCAGTGCAACTCATCAAAGAAAACTGCCTAATATAAAGATCATATATATGGTAATAATTTCCCTCTTTTGTAGTCTGCACAAGATCCATAAAAGATTGTATTTTTATTACTATTTAAACAAGTGATTAAATTTAGTCTGCGCAGTGAGCAAGAGTTCACATGCATTCTTTTATACTGCTGGATTTTGTTGTGCATCATTTAAAACATTTTGTATGTTTCTTCTTATCTGTATACAGTATGTTCCTGAATGATGTTCATTTGTCAGGAGAACTGTGAGAAATAAACTATGTGGATACTGTCTGTTTATATTGTAGAATGCTTGTTGTGAGTTCCTTTGGTTAGATTTTGGATTTTTTTACTACTGTTAAAACAATTATTTTTTTAAAGAACTTGCTTTACCTATCTGTCCTTTAAAAAGAGGAGGGACTCTATTACAGAAAAGAGGGTGGACTTGAGAAGCTCTGTAAAAAATCGTAATGTTTTCACTCAGCGTGTGCCGAATCACCGCATTAAACTAGGTTACAGATAAACACATACTGTGGTTAGAGAGAAAAGCCGTTGTGTTCAGATATGAAAACTAAACAGGTTGAAATTTTTACTCAATGTTTTTTGATGAAAATAAGCCCCCCATGTATTTAATGTAAGTAGGTGGTTTTTGAGAATCGCTGTATTCCCTAGAAAGATTGTTGACTATTGGAAAAGACAATATAAATATTGATTAAGTATTATACTGACCTAATTTTGAGTCTCCCATTTTTTCTAATTTTAAATTAAGAGAACATTATTTACCAGTCCTCTTTACCACATTGTAGGGTACTGAAATCATACCCTGAATACTTTTAATTCAGAAAAGTAATATAATTTTAAATATAGAAATATGAGATTTTTAACATAATATATTAAAGATTACTGATCATGTTGATAAAATATATTCTTATCAGAAAGAAAAGGGAATGGGCTTGAGCTTAACTTCTCACCCAGGGATTATTAGTTGGGGGAAGAAGAAGGGGATTCATTAGAAGTCCGGGCATTTTGATACTAATGTTAAGTGAATATGCCAGAAGACCCACCATCAGCTTGCACCAAGACAGTAGCACTTGATGCTAACTTCTGTAACTTCCATGTTTGTATAAAAGCAATACCACTTAGTTTTGGAGAACCCTTCAGATCCATTCAAAAATCCCACAAAGTGGGAAATACGCTTCGGAAGAGGTCTGTGAATGATACAGTTATGTAAACAGAACAGACAAATCTACTTAAATGTATTTTTCAAGGGCAAAGATTTTGAAAATTTTGAGGAACAAAGGATTATTTTTTGCTTGAGCAAAGATGTGTTTGTTTTGCATTTTTTCAGCTCCAAGCAAATAGTCCTTATAGCTTTAAAAGTCCCTACAGGGTAGTAGTGGTAGGTAATGTGTTTTAATTGGAGGACTACAGGAGGCCCCCGGGCTGTCGTCTGCTAGTAGGCCTTCCATCTCCTACAAAGAAGTGTTAGCTGTGAAGAGACAACAGAGACCTACTTGTTAAAGCATTGCTTGTTAAATAGTATTCAGTACGTCAGATATAGTATTTCCTGAAATAATGTGCTCAAGTTATTTGATAAGAACTGAAGGAACTTTTAATGACATCTAAAACCACAGCTTTAAGGTTTAGGCAGAGGAGGTTTTGATTGGTGTGATGTTCACTTAATAATAGTGAACGTTGATATAGTGCTCACTTTGTGCCAAGCAAGCATGTAGTAACAGATTTAATTCTGACAACCTTATGAGGCAAGTTCATTTATTCTGTTTTCATATGGGGAAATCTAGCCAGAGACATTATATAACCTGTCCAAGGTCATACAGTTAGCAGATAGGTGTCGCTTGGATTTTAACCTAGATAGATTGCCCCAGAGTTGAGTCTGCCTAGTTTCCCTCTTTACCCTGGTGTCAGGTGTCAAGAAGGTGGTGGAGCTAGAGGCGGCAGGGGTTGACTTGCATTCATTCTTCCTGATGCAGTGTAGTTGCTAGAGTACAAACCTGAGCACAGGCCTAGGTTTATAGCACAGAATGGAGAAGCATATCTATGGATGAAGGAGAAGCACTAAAACGGTCTACTGTGTTGACTTAGACAGACACGCATGCATATAATTTGCATACCCTAATATAGCAGCAAACGTGACCATGAGGCTTTAGGCAAAGTTGAGACTAAGACTTGTGTCTCCTGCCTCAGGTAGAATTTGTTCCTGTGCATGTTGATGCCTCTCACTTAACCTAATAGTATGCTTTGTTTTTGACCACAATTTTCTGAGGTATGAGGAACATTAAAAAAAAAAAAAAGAAAGAAGAAAGAAATAGAGGAAGTATTACATCACATGTAGTAAGGATAAATGTTTTGTGAAATGGCTTTTTTAGTCATGCTATATAAACTATTTTTCACTGTGGATAACAAAGTTGGAAGGCTATTGTTCTAGGTGCACTGTTTAGGATTAGAAGTGTCCAGATAACAAGCAGATTTCTTCACAAGTTTGCAGAGGCATTGTCCTGTTTAGGCTGCAAAATATTTTGTTTTTATTTCTTACCCAGATGAAAAATGTGCTTCTGTTTAGTTCCCACAAAAAAGAAACAATTCCTCCCTGCCCCCACAGTTTTTATAGCTTATTAAGTGGATTTTTGAGACTGGTGTCACATTTAGCTCTATGAGGACAGAGACCATCCTTGTCTATTACTAGGACCTAGTTCTTAGATTCTTGGTAAATATTTTTTGGTAGTATAACCAATGTTTTGGAGAGTTATGTTTTTTTCTCTAGGAAGGTAAGAGACACACCCCCACATGCCTGAGCATGTCTGTGGGACCCACAGAGGGCTTACCTCAGTAGATCTACTTTACAGGGCTCTGTGAGGGCTGTAGAATTGAGTCCTGTCTTATCTGGAGGATGTGGTTACCTTGGTGGCTGAGATTTGGGTTCTCACTGGGATCCTAGTTAGACCATGCACCTTCATTCTCGGCCATGGTTTTAGACTGATGTGTAGTAGAAAGGGCATTAGGGTGGAAAATCGGGGTCCTAGTGCCAGTTGTGGGAGTGAGGCACTTAGTAAATGTTGACCAAGAACCACCTTTTATTGAACACTAGGAACTAGTTAATAATTTACATGTATTATTAAGTTGTTTAATTTTCTTAACACCTCTGTAAGGTTGCTTACTATTATCATCTCCACTGTGTAGATGATAAAACTAAAGTTTTGAGGATTATATGTTAGCTTTCAGTAATTCTTCTGTGTGGGACTGAGCATACAAAGCCTTGCTATTGTGGAGTTTATTAGTCTTCAGAAGACCAACAATAAAAATTAGGTAGTTTTAGGCAGAGATAAATGCTAATGAAGAAAAGTAATGCTTGAAGAAAAATGGAAGAATGGGGACCGTTCTGTCATTTTAGAAGGAATAATGAAAAAGCGCCTCAATGACAAGGGTCAGTTTAAGCTGAGACCTGAATGGATTGGCCTTGCAGATATCTGGAGGAACAGACAGGAGGCTGACAAGGGTCCAGGCCAGATCTGGTGAGGCCTTGAAAGTAGACTCTTGTAAAGGAGTTTGGACTGTGTTCTGATGTCTTCTACATACGTACACACAAGCTCTCCTACTAGGCAGAGACCTCTAAGGTCCCTTCCTGCTTTAAAATCCTATGACTTTAAAGTTGTGATGTCATTTTGAGCCATTCAGATCAACAATGTGCTTTAGCAGTAGTATAGAAGACTTGATTTGCACCTCTAGATACTGTCCAGGGGCAAAGCCATTTACCCCTGCTGATATTTTTTCACTGATATCTCATTTCACTTACCCAAGCTGTCAAAGCAGTGGTGAGCATGGACTGTGTTTGCCAATATGTGGTATGTGTTCAAGGAATGTTAATCCCTATAAAGAGTCAAGTCATCTTGTGTTTTCTGGTACAACTGATCATTTTCACCCTGTAACTGTCTTTCTAATTTGCTCAAATACTCCTTGTGCTCCCCTATAAAGTGTGTGACAACTTGGGGTAGTAATAAAGTATTTGACAGCTGTGTGAATGGTAGGAACATGTCCCCTTTGGTTGGTGGAGGCATAATTGTAACCAAAGAAATTTAATTTCTTCTTTAGCAAACACTGACATTTCTGTTTACAAATGACTGCTAGAAAAACGGAAATAACGAAAATTAACATGTGTCATGAATATACTGAGCATTCTCTCTGTAATAGCTCAAAACTGATCTATGGCCAAAATTAAAACCATATGAGCATATCATAAATCTCAAATATTACTGTGTTTGCTTCTAATTCTGTTTGGAATAAAGCTTCAAATGCTTTCCGGAATGATGTGAGTTACAAATAAATAGAAAAAAGAGTTATCATGTGTTCCATTTACTTTATTTGTACATACGTATTGCAAGAGAAAAAAAATGACTTTAAAAATACAGTTTTGTCCCAGAAATGGATTCTTATCTGCACAACCACTGAAGAAAAAAAAAAATCATGCAAACGGAAACTATGGTCTCTTGTGACTGAATAGAGGAAGATGCAGTTATTCCAGTAGAATACATAAGAAACTCTGATTTTGGCAACTGATAGCACAAAAGAGAACCCAAACTTCACTGGTTTGATGCGAGGAAACAATTTTACATTTGGATATGATGAGGTTTGCAAACCCCTGGAAAAGGCCCATATGAAACAAGTAATAGCATCAGGATCTGTTAAACATCGTGTACTGACATGCTTCTCCCACCCACATCACTTTTATTATTGTTACTGTGCTTGTTTGGGCAACTATTAAGTAAATAGGTGATCATTTAAAGTCAAAACACTTTAAGTTGACATTAGTCCAGTGAATGTAATAATACACCATCTCATGCTTTTAAATTACATTTGGTCATTTGTATTGACCTATAATTGCCAAAATGCACCCCCAGGTATAAAACAGGTCAATTTTCTCCACGGTTGGTTCTTCTAGCCATTATGACAGTATTCCAAGTAGCTAGTTTCATAAAAGGGGGTAGAGATATGTTATTGGTGACTAGTCTGGGTTTTGCTGTTTTGGAAAAACTATACAATTTCACATTTTTTGAAAGTTTTCAAATTGAATCAGATTTCTAATCATTAACTCTTATTGTTAACCTAATCTTGGGCTCTGAGCTACTAGTAGATAAGACTTGAGGAAACAGTTACCAGAGGAAGATACCCCGGCTTATTTCCTGTCACCCCCAATATGAAGGGCCTTCATCAGATCTTGCAGGAGAGAGGAAGGAAGATAACGATGGGGAAGTTACGGATGCTAACTAACCACCTGTTTGATGAGAGAAGAACCAGATGATCAGACTTTAGCTCAAATCTCAAGGGCACAACTGGCAGACTGGCCTCATTCTACCTTAGCTCTGAGGTGCTACCTGTACAATGGAAAAGTGCGTGCGGTGAGTACAGACCTCGGTCTGAGTTGGGAAGAGGTTGGGTGATATCAAATGCACCATGCATGGTTTCCAGATGCCTCAGACAGGTGAAGCTGGGAAACAAACAGCAATGTCAGGATTTCAAGGGGACACAAAAGGTTTAACCTGAAACATACTGTTAAGGTATGAACCTTTTAATATTTTTCTGTCTCCACTCTCCTTAACATACATGCACTTTGTCTTCAGAAAATAGAGTCAACAGCTGTGCAGAGTTGAAGAAAAACTTCCTCTGGTGTCCCCTCTGCATTGATCTATATTTAAAAGAAAAAAAAGAGAACATCTTAAACAATTGTAAATAAAACCCTTTTTAATAATAAAAACTTACCTGCTTATAACTTGCTGTGCAAAATTTTAATAAGACACCAAAACCAGAAAAGTGAGTAGTTGGAAGACTATGTGCCTAAATTAAAATGACAAGATACCACTACACATCTACCAGAATGGCCGAAATCCAGACAACCGACACCACCAAAGCTGTCAAGGATGTGGGAAAACAGGAACACTCACTCTTGCCTGATGCGAATGCAAAATGATGTACAGCCACTTGAAAGGCAGTTTGTCAGTTTCTTAAAAAATTAAATGTTCTTACCATATGTCCAGCAATTTCACTCCTTGATATTTACCCAAAAGAGTTGAAAGTATGTTCACAGAAAAACCTGCACAGGAATGTTTATGAGCTTTACTCGTAATTGCCAAAAGTTGGAAGCAACCAAAGACACCTTGCATTTATTTGGGTGAACAACCAGACAACTTAATGTTATTTAGTACTCAAAAGAAATGAGCTATCAAGCCATGAAAACGTGGAGAAAACTTAAAATGTGTATTACTAAGTGAAAGGAGCTAATCTGAAAAGGCTACGTACTGTATGACGTTCTGGAAAAGGAAAAACTGGGAGATGGTAAAAAGATCAGGTCATGGGGAGAGGAATGGGTAGGTGGGACACAGGGTTTGTGTGGCAGTGAAACTACTCAGTATGTATGATAGTGGATACATGCCATACATTTGTCAAGATCTGTAGAAACAGGACTTTCTGTGATTATGATACATGGATGTAGGTTCATAGATTGTAATGAATGTACCACTCGTGGGCTGTTGATAGTGGAGGAGGTTGAGTGTGTTTGGGGATGGGTATATGAGAACTCTGCTCAGTTTTGCTGTGAACCTAAAACTCTCAAAAATAAAGTCTGTTTAAAACAAGAAAACTAGGTGCCCTGTTGAGGTAAAGAACTGTGAAGTGTCATGGAAAGACTGGGATTAGTGGGAATGAGGTTTGTGCGTGTTCTGGAGCACTGGAGCAGCATAGGAAGGAACCGGGGCTGAGGTTGAGGGCTGCAGAGCAGAATGGGACAGGAGGGGGGCTGTAAAGCAAAGGCTGGGGCCTCAACTTGCAGTGTGCTAAGGACAGAGTTCACCTGGGGATTGTTGATACACCAGCGCAAAGAGCCAACAAGAGAGGAAGTAGGGAGAGAGCTGATTTCCTGGGCATGAAGCCACTACTTCCCCTTCCTCACTTAAAATTTCCTAACATGCCAACCACTGAGATTTGTCCCATCACAGGTAACATCCGAAGCAAGTAGAGGCTTAGGGATCCATATAAGACTCATGGGAAGGGAGGAGCAGGTAGCAAGCTTGTTTAATACAGCTTTTTCGGACTTCATCTCCAGAGGTTCTCATTTGGCAGGTTTGGGCTGGGCCTTCTGAACTGCCTACTTAACAAATTTTCTAGATCAGGGTGTCTAACCCATGGCCCATGGGCTGCATGCAATCCAGGATGGCTATGAATGTGGCTCAACACAAAATCGTAAATTTAAGGGAAACATGGAGATTATTTTTGTGATTACATGTCACAGTGTATTTAATGTGTGGCCCAAGACAACTCTTCTTCCAGTGTGGCCCAGAGACACCACAAGGTTGGACACCCCTGCTCTAGATGACACCGATACGGGTCATCTTGGACCCCACTTCGAGAAACAACAGTTTCTTCAGCTCTCGTCTACCTTCTTTGGGCAAACTAGCTTCAATTTCACAACACTAGGGATTCACTGATTTCACTGGTAGAATAAATTTTCAAAACAAAACACATTTGAATATGCCGGAAAATAAATACATCAGTGTTTATAGAAGCACTTTGTAACAGCCTCAAACTGAAAGGCCTGCAAAAGTCCATTGGCAGTAGGTGGCTAAATAAATCATGGCATAAGCTCCTGCCTTACTGAGGGCAGCAGGAGGGAGAGAAGACAGCTGGAGAAATGGAAAGGCCACCACAGAAATGGTGCCTGAATACCAATGGGAACTGAAAGGGCAAGAATCAAGGACACACCGTTTCTGGCTTGAGCACCAGGCGGTTTCTCTAAAGGAGAGGGAATACAGGAGAAGCAGCATGTTTCAAGGGGAACAGATGGGCAGCTAAGTTCTGGGCCAGGTAAGTTGCCTGAGAAAACCAGGTATAGACACCCTACATATATATCTCTATAAAATGAAATGTTCTATCTTTAAGTGAAAAAAGTTGTGGCACAGTCATATAATGGTATACTACGGCAATGAGAAACAAGCTAGAGCTACATTCAGCAGCATGGGCCCATCACAGTCTGCGGGGAGCAGCAAGTCTGTCTGCAAAGCATGCTGTACGGATTAACAGGAAGCTAGAAGACCAGCAAAGCTAAACTATCAGTCAGGGATCCATACCTGGGTGGTAAAATCATAACAAGCAAGGAAATGATGATCAGAAAAGTTAGAATTGTGGTCACTCTTTGGGAAGAGAACAGATGATGGGATCAAGTGACACGGGGTGCGGGGGTGCAGGGATTTCCGTGATCTCTATTTCCTGACCTTTGTGATGATGACACGTGTTCATTTACTGTTCCTCGAAGTGTACGTATTTCTTGTAGGCATTCCTGTGTGGATATTTCTCACAATAAAGAAAAGATTAAAACTGAAACTGAAAAACGTGTAAACACTCCTACCCCCCATAAATGTGTCAAACTCGCTCCTTACAGGAGACCCAGAGATGGCCACCTGCAACTTGTCTCCCTGGCTCGAGGGTCTTCATTTGAGGAGCCAGCTCTTAGCCGTTGCCATGATTTCCCCCTCACAGCACCCTGCCAATGGCTTGGCCTCGCCCTCGTTTTTTCAGATAGCAACATTTTCCGGGTGCGAAGGACGCATTTGTGCTGAGACACTGAGTTGAGTAAGACACCACAGTCCAGCTCGCAGGCACTCCCAGCTCAAGGCCAGCTCCATCAACACTGGAGGATGCAAGCTCATAAACTCGGGGGCTGTAAAGAAGCACCTTACACAGTCTGAGGGAAGCACAGAGGCTTCCCAGGGAAAGTAATCATAACTATCCTTTAGAATAATGAACTTTACCACCACTGAAGCCGAAGTGCTTTGTACTCATTGATTTACCTTAAAAAAAAAAATCACTTCTGCCGTCACTTGACTGCCGTCCTGGTCCGCTAGCTCCCTTCCTGTTTCCCTCCCTCCTGCCTGGAGCCCATTTCCCGACCCACAGTCTGGACTGTGTGTAAGGAGATGGGATTCTTTCTAATAATACTGGGCAACTTGGTTCAGAAAAAAAGGGCTAATAAGCACAAGCGCCCGAAGGGCAAAGCCTGGTATCTTCTGAGGGCTGGGGGGCCAGGAGAGCTTTCGCTGGAGCGTTTCCTGTTTCTATTTGCATCCCAAACCATACAACTCGTTTTGCTTTGTGGCTTACATATGGGAGTTATTTATTTAATTAAGTAAACAAAAAGCTTCTCATTTGTCACTCAGACATGCTGTGATGTGAGTCTCTGTGCAGCCCAAGGATGTGAGGAAATTTAAAGATGAAAATCAAATAATCAGGCTTTCTAGATGGAAAAAGCAGCCTTTGACTTCAGTGAGTGGGAAATCTATGAAGCTATCTGGGATCGTGAGTCCCAAGAAGCACAGCTCTGAGAATAAAATTCTAGAGGCGGTGAGGCAACTTCGAAGAAGAAAATCATAGAAAGGGTTTTTGTGTATGCGCTGTGGGTGTGTTGGGAAAGCTATGGATTGGGTTTTTATGAAGCAAAAGAGCACCCAGCTAACCTGGTGGGGCCAAAGCCTTCCGTCTACATGCCAAGTTTCCCCCTCGGTTCTCCACAGATTACCTGGACATTTCCCAAATCTCAGTGTCAGTTCTCCCTGCTCATCTAATTCCCACACGGGAATATTTTAGAACACTATGTAGCTTTTCTATTTTCATGTGTAACTGTGTAACCCCAACTTTCTAAGTGCTTGCTAAATTATAGGAACCACTCTCACTGCTACAACGCCAGCTAATTTAAACCAGCTAACCAGGTGCTAGTGTTCGGCATCCTTAGGGCACAGACAGAAATGCTGTGTCATTAGCATATTGGTTGTTTTGTGTGAAGGGGACTTAAAACTTGAAAATAAGGTGTCTTGCAATATTAAGTTTTTGCTCCATAATCAATGCTCATATTAATTTATAGCAACCCTCTTTTTCTATGAACAGGGAAAGTAAGTTTCATGATGTCCTTTTCCTAAAAGATCTCCAGTTCTGAATGATCAGAATTAGAATGTATGAGATTTTAATGCATTTAACTGAAAACCAGGTAAGTGGCTTTTGGTCTGAGACTTAATATAAAATCCTCCAATAAGAGATGTTCTGATTGGTATACGAAAGGATTTTTTAGCCCTGGCTGGTATGGCTCAGTGGACTGAGCACTGGACTGCAAACCAAAGGGTTGCTGGTTTGATTCCCAGTCGGCACATGCCTGGGTTGCAGGCCAGGTCCACAGTTGGAAGGCACATGAGAGGCAACCACACATTGATGCTTCTCTCACTCTCTTTCTCCTTCCTTTACCCTCTAAAAATAAATAAATAAAATCTTTTAAAAGATTTTTAAAACTAAAATAGCTAAAAGCAAACGAACAGGAAGTCTGGTTATATTTCTGAGTTTTCACCTAACGGGTGGAGCAGGGAATGAGCAGTGGAAACGCACTGCTACATTGGGAAAGTGGTCACACCATTTCGGGAGTTGCATGCTTTGCCTTTCTTCCTCTTGAGTTCTGTGAATTCAAAACCATAAAACAGTTTGGCTGGTTCAAACGCTGTCCAGATCCAGTTGTGTTTTTCCTGAACTTTTCCACACTGTTCAAAAGATTGCTTGATTTTGAGTTTTGCATTTGATGTATGGCACCATGGGGCTTGTGGGACAAACGCAAGCTGTCACAGAGTGGTTTATGATCAGTGAGTGAGCACCTTCTTC